CTCTTTCCAAAACTTGTGAAAGAATGCCTGGTGGTTTTTTATTTTCCATGCCTCTGGAGTTCTACTGGCAAAGAGGGAGCAAACCCGCGGTATGTATAATCCACCTGTGCTATGCTTTGGTCTGCCTTTACTCTTTCTTTCCTCCTTAATTGCTCGTTCCAATTTATTCTGAACACTAAATTCCAGCCCTTTAAACCCCAGACAGACCGACCGACCGACCGACGGCGCGAAACGCCACCTGCTGGCCGAGTTCGGATCCTCCAGCCTCCCTCCCCAGCCGCTGTTTCCCGTTGCCGTGGCGACGCTCCCCGGCTTCCCAGCGCGGTGGCTGGGCTCTCGTCTTCCCCGCGGAGGGCTCGACCAGGGGCCGCTAGGGGGCTGCGGAATTTCAGGGCGGAGGGGCGGGCGTCTCCGGAGGCAGCCGGGACGACGGGGGCTCGGGTAGGAGCTCGGCTAGACGAGATGTGAGTAGCTACACGGAGTAGCCCGGAAGGTTATAGGGGCAATGAGGGGGAGGACTACAATTCCCAGGATGCAAAAGGGCGGCTCCGCGACCTTTCCGGGCAACCTCCCCACCGCGGTGCCTTCTGGGAGGTGTAGTTTCTGTCAGAGAGGAACCGTTTCGCGCCCTCACGGCTGAGATGAGTTGAGCGTGTCCTCAGGAGCCGGCGAGCGACGTGTATCTGCTCGCTGCGTCTGGTGGAGCGGGTCTAGACTGCCTTCCCACGCCCCTAGTGGGAGCTTGGGGGTGAGGGGACGTGCGCGGGTTATGAACGGGAGGATTTCAAGGAACTTGAAATGTTCCCCTCCTGCCTGCACCTGTCTACAAGTCTTGTATTTCTGTGCATAGGCCATTTTTCACACCCATCTCTCACGCTGTATAATTGCAGCTTCGAGTTCTTTCGGGACTCTTAGTCTTATTTTGGAATTGTGAATATGTATTTACTGTTTGAAGCCTTTTTTTCCTTTACAGGAAAAACCCCATGAGGTATAGATTGTAGCACTGACACCAGCCACAAGGCGTACAGAGCAGGCAGAGGTTTTTAATATTAAAATTTTGTAACATTTGCAAAATTTAGAGAGGTAGATTGATGGGGGATTCTCTTCTTACAAAGTAAAATTGCTTTTTTGTTTGTTTGTTCAAATGAAATGTATGAAAATGTTCAGAACATGAAATGTTCAGAACAAACGTCTGCTGTTCCTTTTTGTGTTTTAAGCCAACTGTCCAATAAACACAACTCCATAAATTGATGTTAAATGTGCACCTTTTTTTGTTTTGGTTTTTATTTTTGTTGTTTTTTTTAATTTTTTTTTATTTTATTTTGGTTCATACATTGATCAAAGTTAGTATTTTCTTTGTGTAGTTTTGAAAGCAGATAAAACGCTGTGGAAGGCAGAATGTCAGAAGATACTGAAGGAATTGAAAAAGAAATAGAAATTGAATTAAGCAGAATCAGTGTTTCTTCCTTTGAAGCGGGTGATCCTGACACAGAGGTATCAGACAAAGCTTTGAGTGACAGTGAGACAGTGAGTATTCAATGGGCTTAAACCGCTTCTATTTCTGCGTGAAGTGGTATGGGCACTGGAAAGCCCATCTGATGAATTAACTTTATCCTGACATACCTAACCTGAGGATTTCTTCTGAAAGGTAGTCTCAGTAGTATTACTTAATGAAAAATGTAACCTCCAATAATGACAAAACAATTAAAGCGATGAATGTCAGCATTCAGCTTAAGTGAGAAAATCAGACTAGTAGATAATTCTTTGTTTTAGAATCCTCCAAAGGTAGAAGATTTTATTAAAGCTAATGAGTTAGAATAAGTCTGGCTGAATAAGCCAATGATTCTTCATTTAAATCTGTATTTAAATTTTAGAATTGTGAGCTGGACTTATGCCTTACAACTTAATATAAATTGGTGTTTTGAGCCCTCTTTTTTTGATGATTTCTTACTTTGGGGAAAGACTTCCCTCTGAAATCCAGTCAATAATTTGGGACCTTTTCAGTTATTTTAAACTTTCAGACTTGTAGCAAAAAGATTGGTCTATAGGATATTGGAGCAGATTATATTGACCGTATGTTACTATAAAGCATATATTTAATATGACATAAAGATGGGCAAGAGCATCAATGATATTTTTTTATTATTGTTATGACTATCAATGATTTATGCAGTCACGTGCTGAATACCAACAATTTTTAGCACAATTTACACATCTGAGAGAAGGTAGTCTGTTTTCCTAAATCCTTACAGGAAGAATCTTTTGAATAGAAAGTATCTACGT